TGGGGGGTAGGGAAATGTTGCCGAAAATTTCAAAATAAATAAATAAATAAATAAATAAATAAATAAATAAATAAATAAATAAATATCATTTTTCCTTCACATCCTTTTACTCATTTCTTTAATTATTTTTATTATTTATTTATTTCCTTATTTATTTTTATTTTCTCTCGAAATCTTGTTGTTTATTTATTTTTCTCCCGCCTTCCCCCCCTATGCTTGCTCTTTTACTTTCTTGATTAGATCACCAGTACCCTACCCTAACCACTTAAACCTCGCTTAGGGTTTTCTTAGGGTTTTTGTAGCGTTTAGGGTTCTTCAAACCCCCCCTACTTCCCCGTCTTCTTCGGGCACCCTGGACCCAAACCACCCCTCCACTTTCGACGACGCCCGTGCTAGCCTTGCTAGCGCTGTTCGCCGCTTTCTACCTCGGACTTCCCCCTACGCCCTCCGCTCACGCGGACCTCTTCTGACCCACTCCAGTCCGGTCCGACATTTCCCCATGGCCGACGGTGTGTCACACGCCGCCAACACGGCGATGACCACGGCATCGGGCTCCACACCCGTGCCGGCGGACCAGGGCCATCCGCCCCAGGGGGATCTGCACACCCTCCTCACCTCCCTCCTTGCGCCCATCCAGACGCAACTCGCGACCCTTGCGCCCTTCCTGGCGCAACTCGCGACCCTCGGGGCCTTATAGGCGCAGGTGGCGACCGTTGCCGCCGGCGTGAAGCAACTCCAGGATGCTGCGTGTCCTCCATCTCCTGGCTCCCCGTCCGGGTCCCTCGTCCTCCGACAGGGTGGCCACAGCGGAGCTTCCTCCGCCGCCGCCCCCGACCCGGCCATCTTGGTGACTGTCCACGTCCCTAGCACGACGGTCGCCACGAGCCAGGCCCTCCCTCAGTCCAGGGGCGCACCCACCCAGATTCCGGTCACGACGGCCACGAGACCACAACCCGCTACCATGGTCTCAGTTTTTTCGGGTGCCCCACTTCTCCTTCCTCTCCGCACGACCGCAGCGCCATCTGGATCGCCTCCTTGTGGGATGCCTCGCGCCGCTCGTGCTTCTCCCCCTGCTTCACCTCGCTCGATCTACGTTCGAGGTCTCGAGGACGAGATCGCCCAGCTGAGGATCGACCTCGGCCTCTTATGCCTTCAGCCACCTCCACCCTCACAGGTGGCCGCGCCTTCCGGCGCACCCTGTTTTTCCTCTATTCTTCCTTCCATGCAGGCTCGCGTCCCTCGCCCTGCACCCTACCCATCCCCATCCTACCTCCTCCTCATCCCCTCGGTTGCTGCGACCTCTTCTGCCGCAGCTCCCGCGCAGTCTGCCGTTGTTTCCCCCGTCGCTCCACCATGCGGCCCGGGCGTCCAGTCAGCTGCGCCTCCTCCTCCAGGACCTGCGCCGACTTATTCCGCCGTAGCGCAGTCCCGTGCTTCACGTTCCCCCCGCCACCAAAACGGCGGCGCACCACTCATCCGCTTGTCGGACATTGCCTTGTATGACGGTACAGGCATACGCGTGGCTAGGTGGCTTCAGTCTGCCACCTGTACGCTCCAGCTCATGGGCATAACACCCGACACGTGGGTGGGTCACCTTTCCACGCGCCTGCGTGGCGGTCCTTCCGAGGCCTGGGAGGATTTCTACGCGCACTCCCTTCGCGCGGGTCGGACTCCAACCTTCATAGATTTCCAGGCGTTCCTCGAGGATCGCTTCGGAGCCCGACACGATGTGACTGACGCCTTCGAGCGTGTCATCACTACACGCTGGTCCGACTCTGGTGGCGCTGTCGGTCTGGATCGCCACATCTAGGTCTTTCAGGATGCCCGCCTCATTTGTGACATGGCGTTCTTCCCCGAGGCGGCCCTTATCGATCGTTTCTTGGCTAGCCTTGCGCTCGAGTACCGCTCCGAGCTATGGCGGTACGAGTTCACATCAGCCCCGCAGGCTTATGAGGCCGCCAGGGACCATCAGCGGATGCGGGCCCGTCTTCACCCCGCCTCCTCCTCCCAGCCACAACGTACTGGTTACGCCTCATTCTCCTCCCACGGCACTTCCCAGTGCCGTTCCCCCTTCCGCGGTCGCCCCCGCCGTTCCGCGCAGCAGGGCCGCCACTTCTCACGCCGCTTCAGCGCTCGAGTATGGTGAGCAGGACGCTGGTGCCCCGTTGTCGCCAGAGGGTGATCATAGCGATGACCTCGACCTCGGCGATGCCGTCCAGCACCACCTGGAGGACCCTACTCTCCCTATGGCTGAGCGCCTCCAGCTTATCCTCTCCACCCTTTCCCGGGCATGCAGCCGCCCTGGTCACGCTGGCGCGTTGCCCCCCGTGGTCCTTCAGCAAGACCTCCCTTAGACTTTGTTCCTTCTCGCGGTGTCCTTTCTGCTGAGGAGCGCGCGGCTATTATGGGCCGACGTAGGTGTTTGCGATGCCGTCAGGACGATCATACCTCCTCGCGGTTCCCTTACACCACCGCCCTCGACCGCCACTACGCTGACCTTTCCCGCCAGCGTCGAGCTCAGTCCCCCCCCGACGCCTCGCATCCCCGCGGCGCCTCCTAGCCACGGTGCAGTGTACACCTGCGCCCTCCTCAGTAATGGGCTTCCCGACATCTCCGTCGCGGTTCGCCCCTCTCGCTAATGGAGCTAAGGTATTGCAGGACTCGACAGCGTGTACTCAGCCCTCTATTGTAGTACCGTCTGCGCCTCCGCAGACCACCGTCTCCCCTCCTTCCCCGCCGCGACTACCGACGCGCCGAGCCATTCGCTCAACCCGTTGCAGTGAGCAGCTCGCTACTCACGAGGAGGTTGTCTCCTCTCTTCTGGACTTGAGCATGCTCCAGGCTCGTCAGGAGCGACTCACCCTCCATGTCGATGCATTGCGTCGCCTTCTCACCATCCTCTCGAACCCTGATCGCATCCTCTCAATCATCCCCGTACGACTGGGGACCTCCACGAGGGTGTACTCAGCGTTGTGTAATTCCGGTTCTCAGGGCGACTTCATTCACCCACGTGTGGTGAAAGAAGCCCGCTTACCCACGACAGGGTCTCCGACTCCCATCTCCGTTACCTTAGGGGATGACAAGACCCAGCGCTTCTTCGATCAGACGGTCACCGACCTCCCTTTCTTCCTCACTCTCGAGCCGACTGATCGTTCCTCGGCGTCTTGTCGCCACCGCTCCTCTGCACATTTCGATGTGATGGAGACGGGGTACGACTTCATTCTCGGCACTCTGTGCTCTCGTCGGTTCCGCAGCACCGATGCCGATTGGGCGACCAACACTCTCGTTCTCAAAACGAAGTGTGGACAAACGTATCGCGTACCTTTCATAGGTAGCACCACGACACCACGCCCCGATTCTCCTCCCCCGGAGCCTTCCGTGCCCACACCATCTCCTTCTATCACCGTCACTTCGCCCCTGCAGTTCGCCCACGTCATCCGACAGGACGACGTCACCTTCTTTATGGTGAATGTGACGAATCTCTTACACTATGATCCACCCTGTCCCGACGCCAAGCTCATCCCTCTGGAGCCAGATCCTCCTTCTATCTCCATGGCTCCCATCTCTACTTCCGTCCCTCCACCGTCCGTCGAGTCCACCCCGCCGTCGCACGCGGACGCTGACGCTGAGGAACTCGCACGATAAACGGCTGATCTGAATCCCGCTGTTCGTGACCTCATCAGAGAGTACCACGACATTTTCCCATCGTCGTTCTCGTACGCCAGCATCCCACCGATGCGTGACGTCGAACACTCCATTCAGCTTGTGCCTGACTATCGTGTTCACCACCAGGCACCCTACAGACTCTAAATCCCCAAGGCCACCGAACTCAAGCGTCAGCTTGAGGAGCTCCTGAGACTGGGTTTCATTAAACCCAGCAACTCCCCGTGGGGTGCGCCCGTCCTATTTGCTCGCAAAACGGATGGAACTCTCCGTCTCTGCATTGACTATCGCGGTCTCAACCGCTACACGGTTAAGAACAGCTACCCCATGCCTCATTCCGATGAGTTGTTCGACCACCTAGCAGGCAACCGCTTCTTTACAAAGATTAATCTTCGTAGCGGTTACCATCAAATCCGCGTCGCTGCAGCCGACCAGCCGAAAACCGTGTTCCGATCGCGATTCGGCCACTACGAGTTCACGGTGATGCCATTCGGCCTCACCAATGCCCCCGCTACCTTTCAGAGGGCGATTAACGACATCTTCAGGGACATCCTAGAGCAGTATGTTCTCGTCTACCTCGACGATATCCTGGCCTACAGTCGTACCCTTGAGGAGCACATCAGACACCTCCGCGACGTCCTTGACCGCTTGCGCAGACATGGCTTCTACACCAAGTTGAGCAAGTGCCGCTTTGCCCAGCACAAAGTGGATTTCTCAGGACACTACGTGTCTGACCAGGGTCTCCACGTGGACAATGCGAAGATCACTGCTATTGCGGAGTGACCCGCTCCCACATCTGCCAAGCAGCTTCGCAGCTTCCTAGGCCTGACCAACTACTACAGTAATTTCATCCGGGGATACGCTAGGTATTCCTACATCCTTACCTCCACCTTCCTTCAGAAGAACCCACCCTGGGCTTGGACACCCCTCCACAAGGACGCCTTCTGCGCCCTCAAGAAGGCAGTGACATGCGCACCGGTTCTTCACCTACCCGATTTTGATCGCCCTTTTATCCTTACCACCGATGCGTCAGACTTGGCTGTAGGAGCAGTGCTTTCTCAGGTCTTCCCCTCCTCTCCTGATTCCTCTCATCCCCGTATCCCTCGCTTCCCACCACCTACCCCTATCACTGCTTCCTGACTGACGCCTACTCGTTCAGCTACCGACGAGCCTTCTATTGACTATTCTCCTACCATCGCCGAGGACGACACTGTCGAGTCTCGCTCAGGTGATTGTCCGATAGCCTTCTACTCTCGCCAGCTCCTGCCCGCCGAGATAAACTACACTGCTGATGAACGTGAGGTTCCCTCAGTAGTTTATGCCGCTCGGCACTGACGTCACTACCTGCACGGGAAACCGTTCACGGTGCGTATGGACAACTCTGTTGTCCAGGCTTTTCTGACAAAATCGAAGCTCACTCCTCGACAGGCTCGCTGGTTGCGCGACCTATCCGAGTTTAGTTTTACCACTGAGCACATCAAGGGTGGGACTAATCAGGTCGCATATGCCCTATCCCGGCGCCCTGACCACGACCAGGAGCAGATCCAGCTTTCTTCCATCTCGGTTACCACTGTCCACCACTTGGTGATCGACGAGTTTCGTACTCAGTACAGTCACTGCCCCGACTATCGCGACATCCACGAGACCCTTCGGAGTGGCAAGACCGTCCCGAACTACTCTCTCGGGGACAACAGTCTCGTGTATTGGCACGGTTCACAGGGCACCAGAGAGCCCCGTATTTGCGTTCCCTTTACAGGACAGCTACGTGTCCGCGCAGTAGCAGAGTTCCATGACCATGCAGCCGCCGGTCATATGGGCTTCCACAAGACGTTGGCTCGTGTGAGCCGCCTGTACGTCTGGCCGAAGCGCAAGGACTTTGTGAAGGACTACGTTGCAGAGTGTCCCACCTGTCAGGAGGGGAATAGTGCAAACCACTTCCCTTATGGTTTGCTCCAGCCTCTTCCTATCCCTGAGGGTCGTTGGAAGTCCATCTCGATGGACTTTATCGGTCCCCTTCGTCCTCCGACCCCTCGCGGTCATGATGCTATCCTGGTCGTCGTCGACCGCTTCACGAAGCGTGCACACTTTGTTCCGTGCCGCTATGCCATCAGTACACGTGACGTCGCCGACATCGTGTTTGACGGAGTCGTGCGTGACCACGGCTTACCTCTGAGCATCATATCTGACCGTGACCCGCGCTTTACCAGCCGATTCAGGCAACGGCTCCACGATGTATACGACACTCAGCTCCGCTTCTCCTCATCTTACCATCCTCAGACTAATGGTGAGAATGAGATCATGAACAGGACTCTCGGAGATATTCTCCGAAAGATTGTTCGTGACGACCAGCAGTGGGATCTCCATCTTGCCCACGCGGAAATAGCCTACAACCACGCCGTCTCGCCAGCCACGGGAATGTCGCCTTACTATTGCGACCTCGGCTATCACCCTCGTGTTCCCGCGGACTTCCTCCGACCGTCCCAGCTGCACACCGACACGAGTTGTCCCGCGCTGGATGATTGGGTTGCACACATGACGTCGATTATGAAGACCGCATATGAGCACATAGCCGCTTCCGAGACTCGCATGGCAGCACGTGCGAACCGATTGAGAATGGATCATCCATTCAAAGTCGGTGATGATGTGCTTATCGACGCCCGCCACTTACAGCTCAAAGCGGACATGCTTCGCAAGTTTCGGCGTCGCTTCTTTGGCCCATGCAGCATCCTCCAAGCCGTCGGTTCTGATACGGCTTCTAGCCCGGTCAGCTTCCGTGTGAAGCTGCCCGACTATCTACGTCAGACTCGTGTGCACGATGTCTACCACGTCTTGTTACTGCGTCCTTACTGCAGACCGTCTTAGCGTTTCGTTGGACGACAATACGAGCGCCCTCCACCCATCATGGTGGATGACCACGAGGAGTTCCTCGTTTCAGACATCATTGGCCGCCGAGTCACCGACGACAACCCTCCCCACGTCGAGTATCTCGTACGTTGGAAGAGTTAGCCTGATGAGGAGGCTACCTGGGAGCCCCTCGAGCACTTGCAGCACGCTCGCATGTTGGTGCGTGCCTATGACCGTGCTCGTCGTGCTGGGTTCACTGCTCCTCCTCAGCCCACCGACCCTCCTCCTTTCCTCCCGGCTGAGGAGACCGCTGAAGTCGAGCCTGCTCCATTTGAGGCAGACCTTCAACAGCAATTGGATGCTTCTCAGCGTCCACAGCGCACTCGTCGTCGTCCTGCTCGATACGACGATTGACTATAACTTACCTTCCCACGTCCTTGACTTCTCAGTACTCCATCTATTCCAGCTTTGTTACCTTCGCTCGTCGACGCTGCGGCTCTTCCTCGACGACATTCCGGACTTCTCATCGTGGACGTCATCCGCAGCTTCATGGACTTCGTCACGATCAGCTCTGCCTACTTCAGACGTCACCACTCTCTTACCACTTTACCCTGTACAGTACCCTGCTTGTGTCGCATGATGGTCGCCCTTTTGCCGGGTTCCTCTGAGTTGGGCTGTCCCTTGGTATGCGCATAGGCATCGGGACCGTAGCGTTGCCCTGGCTTCCCATCTTACGGATCTAGCTCCGACTTCCCTCACTTTAGGAGTCATTTGCATGATTCCGTTACCCATCATCTTTCTACCCTTCGCCGGCCCTCACGACCTAGTTAGGCAGCCCCGCATGCTTCATCTAGGTGCGCCTAGTATACCAGGCTCCCTTGTTCCCTTGCATGGTTGACCCTCCATAGCGGTCACCCCTTAGTCGAGCATTACCCGCCCTGATGGTCTATCTGTTAGGGTCATTGGTTTTGTTCGTTCCCAGTTCCCTACCCTCATTGAGCCTCACGACATGTGTTTCCCCCTGTCACCATGTGTTGATTCCCTTAGGAGTTTTCGACCCCTAGGCTGCATTCGCCACCCTCAGAGACCATCCCACCCTTTGGTTTGCGACACACTTCTGTTGTGACATATGAGTGACTTGTTGTTGCTTTGTTGCTCTCAGACTGAGGCTACTGCCTCTGACATTTCTAGGATTTAGTTGTTCTGCTTTTGSTGTTCTTAGGACYTWTACACTACTCAGYTGTTCCCAGACTGAGGTTACTGCCTCCAACATTSTTRGATCTAGTTGTCAGTACTTTCTGCTTTCCTAGGACATGYATGCTAGTTAGTTGCTTTTGCTTTCCTAGGACATGTATGCCWGTWAGTTGTTTTTGCTTTCACTTAGGCTGTTAGCTGTGACATTGCTGTTTTGTGACATTTKCTATCCTAGGTTGCATCGCATGGACTCARCATGGCGYTTGCTCYGCATCCTAGACTATTTAGGTTTTCTTTTTCTTTGGTAGAGTTCCGCTTCTTGGCGGAAGCGTGTTTGCATCTAGGCGATCCATCACAGGCCGAGGATCGTGTAGAGGACCTCTGGTTGGCTTGTGAGACTAGCCCCTTGGCCTGTTCTCACAGGCTTGTGCTCTATTTAGGGGCAGCCTAGTCCAGTCCAGGCCGGTACCTCTGTCGGTACCAGCTAGTCCAGTCTTGTCCAGTCAGTCCGCTGGGGTATACCCCAGCAGTTGTCTGTTTCGTCCTCGTTCTTGACCTGCACATTTTGGAGTACGTGCGTTGGAGTCTTGCGTGGGGAGCTGCGTTGTGCCATCTTGCTCCCCCCTTCTTCCTCCATCTCCATCTCTATCACTAGCGAAGCACCACACCTGGTGGGTCCGCTACAGAGCGTGTGGGTTTTGGCCGCCAACTCGACGTGGCTAGTAGGTGAGTCATCATGCATCAACGCCATGGATATGTTTTTGCCCAGGTGTTAGGTCGATGGATACTTGGATTCATAACGGTGAATGCATTGTCCTCTTCCTCTTAGCTCCTCTACTCTTACCTCACTTCCGTGCTATCCTCCTCTGGCTAGTATGCACTCCAATTCAGTTATCTAGGGCAATTTTTAATAATATTTTTCATTGTTCTCTTCTAACCGAATAAGTTGTAAGAGCACATTAAAAAGAAAAAAAGAAAAAAAAGCAAGAGTAACTTCTGAGGGCGTACTCACATTAGTACTTTCTTAAGTGTATCTGACGGCATTTATGTCGTACTTTTCTTTCCCCTATTCTTTTTAAGTGGTATAGGTCGTCCTCCTGTTGCACATCCTTCGCTCCCACCTCATCTTGTTCCCTTCCTCCGCAGTTTCTTTGTCTACGTCTTTGCCCATCCCCTCTTAATCTCTTCGCTCCTTTTTCCCCAAGGCCTCCTCCCACCTCAACTTCATGAAACTTTCCCAAGCAGGGGAATGTAAAAGGGAGTCGACAAGACACATAGGATAGGAGAAAAGGGACAGAGAACGAGGAAGAGGAGGAGGAGGAGGATATGGAAATAACTGGGAGAGGAATGAGACATGAAAGATGATGTATAAGAGGCAAGGGAGGAAGAAGAGGTCGAAGGGAGGAAGAGGAGGTTGAAAAGTGGACATAGAGACCAGGAGGGAAGAAGAGGGAGGACCTTTCTTAGTCCACAGGGGTAAGCAACATTAACAGCAATCTTGAAGATCGAACCAGGTTAAAAACGAGGACTGTTTGGAGGAAAAGGAGTTGAAGGGGGAGGGGTGAAGTTGGAAGACAAGGAGACAGTAGAAAATATCAAGAAACAAAAAAAAGGAGCTATCTATAGTTAACACGATCCTTTGACCCTCCGCATCCGAACCTCCCTCTTTCGCACTAGCCTCCCCTCTTCCATCGGCATCTTTCACTTCTTGACCGTTTATTCCCGCTTCTACTGAAAGCTTCCTCCTCTTTATTCTTCTTGTTCGTCTTGGTAATTGTTCTCACGCACAGATAGATAAACACACACACACACACACACACACATACACACACACACACACACACACACACACACACACACACACACTCGCACACACACACACACACAGAGAGAGAGAGAGAGAGAGAGAGAGAGAGAGAGAGAGAGAGAGAGAGAGAGAGAGAGAATCACGCCCCTCGCCATGCCTGTGTCGGACCAAAAAGATAGCCTGAGTACCGTGCCTCGTGGTGCACTGTTACACGCCATTGATTTTTTGGTTCATTCAGCTTACGTGTTGTTCGTCCTCTTGGT